GCGCCTTCAAGGTGGCAGGCGAGGTCAGGTCCGATGTCTGCCACGCGCATCTGAACCCCTCTTGAGGCGCGTGGAGCCCACCGGCTCCGGGACATCCCTGCAGGGCAGAACCCCCGGGGCCTGTCCTGGCCGTCCCGCGCCCGGCAGCAGGCGTCTGCGCGCCCCGCGTCTCGGCAGACGCCCCTCCCCACCCACACGCCCGCGCGCCCGGCTGCGGGCCCCCTGGGGCTGCGCGCCGCTCCGCACGTCGCTCGTCTGCAACGCACGCACGCGCCGTGGCCGCCACGGACACGCCCCCTCACGGCGGAGGGCGCGGGGCCCGAGCCGAGCGGGGGCGCGGTCACTGCGTCCCCCCGGCATCGGGTCAGGCCCGGAGTCAGCGGGGCGGGGGCGGGGGGGGGTGAACCACGGCGACTGGGAGGCGTGGCCAACACGGCTAAGAAGGCCGGTCAGCCTGCAGCGCCGCGCTTTCCATCTTCTCTTGCAGGTGCCTCGACGCTGGCGCCTGGCTCACGCTGGAGGGACCCCCTCCCAGGGCTGATTGTTTCCCAGGACGGCCAACAGCTGCCCGTGAGCTTTCCTCGTGCAAGCCGGCCAGTGCAGAGCCCACACGCCAGCCACCTCGTCCGTCAGGCTCTCACGCCCCAGGCCCCTGTCCACCTGCCCTGCCTCCCCGGGGCAGGGGCCACACAGGAGGGGGCCCCATGCCCGGGAGCCCACCGGTTATTCAGACCACTCCGTTCTCAGCCTGCATCCCCTGCACCTGCTCCTTCTCCGTGCCCTCAGAGCGGGGACCCTCTGCCTCTAACTGCCCCCCCCCCCAGATGCCCCTGAGAGCTGTGCCCTTCCTCTTGGGACCGGTGAGCAACAAACTATCTTTCCAATGCCAATTCTCTCCTGATCTGCTGGCCTCATTGCATCTCAAATTCTCTATCAATTCACTGTATTCTAAGGAACCACCTAATCTGCCAGAGCGTCCGTTGAACCGGGCGGTCCTCAGGCCCACGTGTGGGAGTGCAGACAGCGTTAAACTCCCCTCCGTGATGGACGGTGGCACGTGCCTTGAAAAGGGATCCTCGGCCAGCACGACACCCGCAGAAGCCAAGCGAAACTCTGGCTTTTCTTCCCCCTGGCGCTAGTTAATCTTCGTTTGTTATTAACACGTCCAGTGGGAACGGCACCTACGAATTCCACCGCCTGGTTTGCCAGCTCTTAGGAAGCAGGAGACCACAGCGATTTGTTCAGGCCCCTGAAACAGACTCCAAAGATGGACTCACCTGTTTACGGGTGCGTCGAGGACAGTGGCCGAGCCGCGCGCTCTTCCCTCCCTCTCGCACAGTCCCGCGAACCTCGCTCACTGCTCCGTGTGAGACCCTGCAGCTGTCTCCCTGGGGGACGCTGTCCTGTGTGTGAGACAGACGGAGGGGCGCGGCCATTGCCCCCAGCACACACCGTGCCCTGCAGCTCCCCGAGGGGTGTGTTTCCAAATTGCCCACAGCAAAGCATGTCCGTGAACTTGGGCCTGGCCTCCGTGACCTCTCACAACTTTCTCTGCTCACAGCGGCAGTTTGTGACCTAAAATATAAGGAGAAGACAGCATCACAGAAGAGAAAGCACACCCCAGCCTCCTCAGTCCTTCATGTGGGACACAGGTGGCTTTTCTCCGGCTCTCGCTCCGTTCTACGCATTGTGTGCTGCTTACAATGGGCTGTGGGTTCCTCCAGTCACAGAGAGACCGTGTGTAGCCACAACTGTGTGATGTGAAGAAGGATGGAAACCATCCACACACGATCCTGGCCTCACAGTGCGGTTCCAAGAATCAGTTTGGAGCTCATAGACAACAGCTCGTTCCCCCGTGGTGTGGCCAGCAGGTCAAGGCACGTCACGCCCCCAGCCAGGCAGCACCTTCAGGACCGTGCCCAATGCTGCTTGACCCACCACAGTAGTCGCTTACGGCACTGCCTGTACCTGCTCCTCTTTCTGTGGTCCAGGGTTTGAGCTGAGCTCTTGAGGGCGGGCTATGTGCATCTGATGGGTTGCTTCTGCACTGGACAGTCTCAGATGGCCCTGCTCATATCTGGTGGGGGTGGGGGTGGGGCCATCTCCAAGCACTCTCCAAAGTCAGGCTCCCACTCTCCCATAGAGACAGGGGCCCGGGGGTGCTGTCTCCTCACTGGTAAACTCTCAAAGAGATGGCCCTTGTATCCTTGGGAAAGTCCTGGGTTGTAAAACTGTCAAAGTTTAAAAGTTTTAAAAAATCTTTTTTTTTTTAGGGGCGCCTGGGTAGCTTAGTCGGTTAAGCGTCCGACTTTCACTTAGGTCATGATCTCGCGGTTCGTGGGTTCGAGCCCCGCGTCAGGCTCTGTGCTGACTGCCAGCTCAGAGCCTGGAGCCTGTTTCCGATTCTGTGTCTCCCTCTCTCTCTGACCCTCCCCTGCTCACGCTGTCTCTCTCTCCTAGAAATAAAAAAAAAAAAAAAAAAAACATTAAAAAAAAATCTTTTTTTTTTAAAGATTGGAGGGGCGCCTGGGGGGGGGGGCGCTCATTCAGTTGAGCATCCGACTCTCTTGATTTCGGCTCAGGTCACGATGTCACGGTCATGAGTCTGAGACCTGTGTCAGAGTCTGAACTGACAGCACAGAACCTGCCTGGGATATTCTCTCTCTCTCTCTCTCAAAATAAATAAATAAACATTTTCAAAAACAAGATTTAAAAGGATAGAGAAAACATCTGCAGTGACAAATGTTCTAGAGTAATAGACATCACATCTGTCTTGGTCAGAGGCTGGCCCAAGCTTCTTCACAAGACGGATCAGGGTGCAAAGAGAGAGAAGAAGACAGAGACAGAGGGACAGAGAGAATGAGAAAAGTTGCAGGACCCCTGTGGCCCAGGCTCGGAACCTCCACAACCTAATTTCTCCCACACACGTTTGGTCAAAGCAAATCACAGACCAACCAAATTCGAGGGAGGGAAGAAAACACTCCACTTCCTCATGGAAAAAGTAGCAAAGTCATGTGGCAAAAAGGTGGGCATCTGAACGTGGAAGGAATCTGTGGCCGTTTTTCCCAGTGTAACACAAAAGGGTTAGGTGTGTGGGGGGGGTGTTTACACATTAGCAATGCACAGTCGTCCAGCTTCTGAGACTTCTGCACGACCCCATGCCCACTGTCATCCCGTCGCTGTCATTTGGGGTGGAAACCGCTATTTTCGCACTTAAGGCGAGCCTCCAGGGACAATGAACCCTTGTCTCCATGATGTTTTCTACTTTTCCTTTCAGCTCCCCACCCCGAAAGCATCAAGGCAGCACACGTTAACTGTGGCTCTTATTATTCAAACTGCTGCTGTCCCAGGAAAAATACCCTCCTTCCAACTTCTAAGTCATTGAATTCTTTTTGTAATGTACAAAATATAAGACACATGTACATGCCTCAAATAATACCTGGGAATTAAGGAAAACATTTTTTTTCTAAACTTGAAATGTTGAAGAAAGTACAGAATCCCAGAATGATCTCTCCCCAACCATAAACAGTCTCTAGCCCCAACACTAATTTCTATATCTGCTTTCAGTTTTATATTCCTTTCCTAGTAGAGGACAGTCTTGTTTCCAAAGTGTACATACTGCGACCTACTGCCTTTTCAAGAACACCAGAAGGAGGATCTAGGGACTCGAAGTCAATAAAAGGAGAAGCCGTAGTAGACAAAAGGGACTTTTGTCAGGGAGGTTTTGGGGAAAATGAAGCTGAAGGAATGAAAACCAAGGCCTTAAACCTGCTCCCTTGTATGGGCTTGGAGGGAAGACAGTCAGGTTTACAGGAGGTTTTGATCTCCGGTACTGCCTCTGAGTCTCTGAAGCAGGGAGACCCCTAGGAGGGCAGAATTTGCACTTCTGATGAGAACACCAGACATGCGCCACAAGTGAATGGAAATGGGCGTGGTGGAGCAGGGAGCCTCGTAGGATAAGCAGGCATGATCCTCAAGGAAACAAAGCATTTTAAGAAGATCAGTGCAAGGGTAGGGAAGAAGCGAAGATGTCTGACTGTCAGAAAGCAAAGACGTCTGAAGAGGTGGTGTTACTTTGGTAAACATTAAGCGATCACAAAACTTCTGTAGGTCTCCTGGCTTTGTAGATTCACTGGGTGGTCTGACTCTGTTTCCCCTTCAAGATGGTAAGTTCTTCAGCTATGGCTTTTCCTACAATAGAGGCCTTTGTAGGAAAGGGGGCCATAGTCCGTCTAATTAAACCGGGGTGATCAGTACAGCAAGATCCGACAGAAAGTGGCAAACCGGTCCTTGACTCAAGAAAGGTGGCTGGAAACTACCCCCCCCCCCGAATAAAAAGAAGGAATGGTTTGGTTAATTGGCTGCCTTGGGAGTTAAAGACCCCAAATTCGTCATCACCACCGGCATGGCTCTCACTTCACAGTGTACACAGCAAATGGAAAGACCATGTTTTCCGGCGCGCTGCATTACCAGCTGCGCATTGCAACCGCGGTTAGTCCCCAAGCTCATCTGGAAAAAATGTGAGGACAGAGATCCAGATGGATTCGAGTGTGAGATGCAGAGGAAGCTCCCAGTCTGAAATTCCTTGTGAAATTTCAAAAAGACCAATTAACGCCTCCAACCCAACTCCATCCACACAAACGCACTCGGACTAGCGGTTACCAGGGCTGTCGTTCAGCGGCCCTGGAGGCCGCGCGCGGCCAGTTTAACCGTGTCGTGACCAGCCCACCTGCAGTCACAACGACCACGGGGTTTGGGCAACTGCAGAGAAACGCCGCTGCCCCTGTGGAGGGGACTGATCTGACTCGTGCTTACCCACCCGCGCACCAGAAAACTCGGTGCGCCCCGCCTCTGTGCTAGCGGGGATAAACCCGCGCGGGCTCTGCACCCCCAGCCCCTCGCCCTGACCCTTCTGGGGCCGGAAGCCTCCCCGACTCGACTCGGGGGGCGGGCAGAGGAAGGGGCGGGGGAGAGGAGGCGGCCCGGAGGCGGCGCGGAGGATGCATGCGGGGACCCTGGGGCTCTGGGCCCTCCTGCAGGCGGCCGAGCAGAGCGCGCGTGAGTGCCCGGGTTGCGCGCCCGCCCCGCGCGCCCCTCCCGCCCCCCCCCCGACACTTCCGGGCGCCGGTGCCACCCCTGCCGCGGCGGGCAGCCTGCCCCGGCCCGCAGTCAGCTCCTGGCGCCGGTGCGAGCCTGCGGCGCCCCGTCCCCCGGTCCCCGTCCTACGTGGGACCCCGCGCGCGCACGCACCCTTCCCCGGGCCCGGGGCTCGTGCGTTCCCCGCTGCCCTCCGCAAAGGCCTCCTGAACTCAGCCCGGGGCTGCGGCGCGCGCTGTGCCGTCCGCGGGCCTGATCGCGCCCCGCGTTCCCGGCCTGGGGTCTCGGCGGCGGGGGAGGCGTCCGCGTGGCCCCGGAGAACCGGGAGCCCCCGCAGGGCGCAGCATCCACGGGGCCGTCGAGTCCCGGCTGAGCAAGATGGCAGCGCCGGTTAGCGCCTTTGCAGTTTGAATTTGTAACTCAGCGCCGCCGAGGAGGCCCGCGCCCTCTTCCGCCCGGCTCGCGGCGGAGGCTCCAGACCCCCAGCGCCTCGTGCCCAGCGCAGCGCGCACGCGTTTGGTGACCCCGGCCGGTCCCGGCTCGCAGCCTTACCCCTGGGAGCGAGCCGTAGCCTCCGGGTCGGCGGGGTCGCAGTTTGAACCGCTGTCCCTGGGGGTCTCCCCGGGGCGTCCCCGCAGCGCTGTTTCCACGGCGTCGTGGCCACGCACGACCTTCACCCGGGGAGTAAGGTCCGCTCCAAAGGTCCCGGCGCCAGCGCCGAGTTAGGGCGGCCGAGGGCCCCAGCATGGCCCTGCCTAGGCCGGTGACTCCTCCAGAGACGCTTCGTGCTCGCGCCACTGGTTTACCCCGGTGGGGGGAGGGGGGGCCAGGAAGCCCAGAGTGGTCAGAGGTCCCAGACAGGCCCTGGGGGCCGGGGACTAGCCGCTCTGCCCCGTCGGCCCAGACCCCCAGGTTCCTCTCTGGACCTGGGGCAGTGCTGTTTGCACAACAGTTCACGGCTCTACGTGCCCATAAATCCATCTTAAACTCTAATATTGGAAAACCCAAGCAACGATCACATAAAATGATTCCAGTGAATTAGTGCGTCTACTGGCACTGGACACATTCCAGCGGCCCCCCCCCCCCGTATCATTTACTGGGACTGTACATCCCAACCTAGACTAGTCTAACTCTTTCCACTAAGAGTTCCTCTACCTTAGCCTCCTCAAAAATTAAAAAATAAATCCCCAAAGAGGATTAGCATTTTAAAAAAATTAATGTTTATTTATTTTTGAGGGGGAGGGAGAGGAGAGAGAGAGAGGGAGGGAGAGCATGAGCAGAGGAGGGGCAGACAGAGGGAAAACCAAATCCCAACGGACTCCAGGCTCTGTCAGGGCCTCAGGTGTGGCTGGAACTCATGAGTAGTGAGATAGTGAGATCACCACCCGGGCTGACAGTTGGTTGCTTAACCAAATGAGCCACCCAGTTGCCCTGAGGATTAGCATTTGTCAGTGCACGTAGCAGGGGCCACATATTTTGTGTGTGCTGTCCCTCTGTGTGACCATGATCTCTTGGGTTCCCTGGAAGGTCCTGGCGCCCTCACTCCACCTCGGCCTGTCTAGAACACCCACGGGCTCTGCCGGCTCCTGGGCTGGGCCAAGCGGAGAGCCCTTTGTGTTTCAGGGATGCAGGGTTGACAGTCACTCCAGCCTCCAGTCACCCTGTCTTTCCTCTTCGGTCCGCAGGCCTGTGCTCTGTGGTTTACTACTTCACCACGGGACAGCTCCTCTGGGCGTGGCTGGCCCTTTCCGTGCTACTGCCTGGCTTCTTGGTCCAGGGCCTGAGCTATCAGTGGTTCTGAGCAGGCGGACATCAAGGTCATTGCTTGGTCACGCTACACCTCCTTCAGCTCGGCGTGTGGAGGCGGTAAGGACGGGCAGCCTCCTTTCACCTCTGGAGCCTGATTTCATAAGTGCAGCAGGAGCGGATGTATTCCGTCCTTAGGGTTGTAAATGTTTAGGGTTGGGAGAATGCTCGAAGCCACCGCTTTGAGACCCCGCTCTGCTACGGGCATCCCCTCTCCCAGCTGGCACTTCCTTGAGCATCTCTATCATCAGGGGGCTCCTTCCAGAAGCAGCTGTGACCCTTTGAAAGCTTTTTCTTGTTTTGGGCTGAATTCTATCTTGGTCTTGTTCCCATTTGTTGGTCAAGACTTTGGAGCCATAGAAGATGACTGGCTTAAATAAGTTGCATTTAAGCCCCTACTACCTTAGTTGAAGAAGGTGATCTAGATTTAACCACAGATGCGACGGTGGAACTGCCTTCAGGATGAAGCCATTTGGGAACCACTCCCAGTTTTCTCCACACCCCCACCCCCAATAAAACAGCCTCAATGAGTCTAGTGCCCAGTAGCCTTACCTGTGGTTCACCTCTGCTGGTAAGATACTGTTTTCACTGGGAGTACCTTGATACCTGGAGTGTTGGGAGATATGTCAATGGGTTTAGGTAAATGGCAAATTTCAGCTCTTAGCCACCTCATAATCCCGTAGCTGCCAGGAATTTTTTTTTTTTAAAGGGAGATGGGGCTCCTGGGTGCTCAGAAGTTTAAGCATCTGACTCTTTTTTTTTCTTTTTTTTAAATTTTTAAAAATTTATTTCTGAGAGAGAGAGAGAGACAGCGTGAGCAGGGGAGGGTCAGAGAGAGAGGGAGACACAGAGTCTGAAGCAGGGTCCAGGCTCTGAGCTGGCTGTCAGCACAAAGCCCAATGCGGGGCTCGAACCGACACACCGTGAGATCATGACCTGAACCAAAGTTGGACGCTCAACAGACTGAGCCACCCAGGCACCCTGTGCATCTGACTCTTAATCTCAGCTCAGGTCATGATCTCATGGTTCGTGGGTTTGAGCCCCACATCAGGCTGTACACTGACAGCACGGCGCTTCCTTGGGATCCTGTCTCTCCCTCTCTCTGCCCCTCCCCCCCAATAAATAAATAAACTTTTTTAAAAAGGGAGAAAATTTCGGGGATCATACCAGTAAAGTAATGCAGCTCAAATGTTCATTAAGTTCTAGATGCCAAGGATTGGAAGGGTGTTCAGGAAGTCAGTGCAAGTTTGAGATCTTGGGCTGTACTGGGGGTGGCTTATGCCTTCAGCCTTTCCCCAAGGCTATCTCTGGAGGAGCTGAAATAAGGTTTTTGATTTCTCTGCTGAGTCTGAAGAGGCATTGATTCTTCATATGGAATCAGTTTCAGAATGGAATGACTCCTTTCCACCCAGCGTAGAATCTCAAATAGGACATAGTGGGTGCATCTAATAAGGACGTTAAGCAACCACCCCAAATTTCACTGGGCCGCTCAGAGCTGGAGCCCTCCATCTCTGAAGACACCAAAAGCACATTGGCAGCCACAATATTGCCCAAAGCTGGGCCTTTGTGTTCAAGGCCTTTGTGCTGGGCACCACCGACTATAGTGGGTATTTTCAGTACCTTCAGCCCAGCCTCTTAGGACACCCACTTAAGGGCTGCGGTGCCTTGTAGTCATCATGTATGTGACTTTGAGGATAGATAACCAAACATTTGATAATTGAAAATTATCTTGCTCATCACTTGAGAGAAGCTTCCGGAATAACTGCCCGATAAATCTGCCTTCTGGGACTGTGTGGGGACACTTGGGCCCATCCAGTCCAGTGCCTTCTTCAGGGATGGGCTGTGTCAGGCCCACAATATGTCCATATTCATGCTGCCAGCATTGCCTGTGACTCCAAAGTCTTTTCTTCCCCACATTCCCTCACAGTTTTGTAAGTGGTGCTGAATTTCTGGTACACACTAGTGTTTTCAAACACTAAAATGGATAAGGGAAGAGAGTCTTGAAAAGTAGACCTCAGGAAACACAGCTAGTCATCTATATAAAAAAGTAAGTTTAAAGGGACTAAAAAAAACCCCAAAAAACACCCACATACTTTACAAGGACAAAAAAAAAAAAAAAAAAAAA